TAGAATATGTCTTTTTTACACCCAAGTGACCAGCTAGATCGCCATGAGACAATTTAAGTACAACATCTCTGAATTTCTCTGGAACAACAACTTGAACCACTGACTCACCACCACCATCCTCGTGTAACGCAAGCCACTTGCGCAGAAGCACCCCATCATTAATATAATATCCAGTCGCGGCACTCTCTACCTCCTCCGGTGGGAGAACAGCAGCGAACATTTTTTCTAATCCAGGATCATCCCTCTGGGCAACAATGAATTCTGCACGAGAAATTCTTGACAAGAGAGACAATCCAGGAGCGACAGACTCAACAGGAACACGGGTATCATTCAGGTTAGACTCATTCAACATTTTAGACTTGGATCGCGTCACTACACATGACACATCTTCGGATAACTTACAACATTCTTGATCAAGAACAGAGGACGTGGTGACAATCGGTGCAGGTGTCATTACAGGCCACACACTCTCCCCAGCCAAATTATTTCCCAAAATAATGTCCACTCCCTCCACCGGCAAAGAAGGGCGCACTCCCATAATAACTTCGCCGTTCACCAACTGGGATTGTAAACTAAATTTGTGCAAAGGGACAGACAATGTTTGAAGTGCAATTCCTCGAATTAAAACATTCTTACCGACATACGAGCTGGATGAAAATGGAAGTATGGACTCCAAAATAAAGGACTCTGACGATCCCGTATCCCTCAAAACTCTTACAGGTACGCTTTTATGTTCCTCTAAAAGAGAAACACAACCTTGAGAAATAAATGGTGCATACCCAGTGTTAGCTTTAATTTCGGAACAATTTCCTTTTATTACGGAGTCATCCGTACTGCAAACAGCTGGAGTCTGCGGAAAACAATTGGTCAAAAGCACAGGTGCAGTATTTTTATTTTTGCCACGTATCTGCTTATTTTTTAGCAAAGGGCACTCGTTTTTCCAGTGCCCGACCTCCAGACAATACCGGCACGTTGAATCAGATATCGTTCTACGAGAATGTAAATATGGATCAATTTGCTGCGACTGTTTAAAGTGAACTTTTCCATTTCCCCGATTCCCAGAACTAAATCGGTTTTTATGAGTCAGAACAAAGTCATCTGCTAATGATGCAGCTTCAGCAGCAGTGCGAGGTTTATTCTCATTAATGTAGACAGCAATTTGATCAGGAACGATATTTTTCAGTTGCTCAATAATCATCATTTCACGCAACTCACTAAATGATTTTACATTAGATGTAGAACACCAGCGATCAAAATGATTACATAGCTCTCTAGTTACTTCCACGTGTGTTTGTCTCTCACCTTTTCTCCACGCTCTAAAACGTTGGCGGTATGCCTCTGGAACCAGCTCAAATGCCTTTAATACAGCAGATTTTACGCTATCATATTTTTTCCTTTCATCAACAGAAAGAGCAGTATACGCCTCCTGGGCTTTTCCCACTAATACGGACTGAAGCATAACGGTACGGTCAGTCTCAGGCCAATCTCGTTCATCAGCAATGCTTTCAAACAACGAAAAAAATACGTCTGGATCTCGCTCATTAAACACCGGCAACAACTTCAAATTATTAATGAGATTGAATGAGCCGTCTGTGCGATGAACAGGTGACCCGCTCGCATTTTGGAGTTTTAAACTCTCGAACTTAAGTTGAAACTCTTGGTTTTGTCGTTCTACCGCTAACTTTTGCTCATGTTTTATTTTCTCAAATTCCATCTCACGCTTTCTCATCAAATCATCCAATCTAAGTTTTTCGATTTCCATTTCACTAACGCGCATCTCTTTTTCGTGCAACTGTTGCATTCTAATCAGCTCTTTTTGCTGCTCAAATGACAAACCAACAAATGACATTTTCTCAGCTGCGGGATTAACCCCAGCTGTTGCTCGTCTCGACGTAACTGGCAAAACCTGAAGTTCACTCAATTTAACTCTAATCATTTCTCGAACCTCATCCTTACGCATTCGCTTATCAACGCCACTCAACTCGTATCGATCTACAATTTCCCAAAGCTGCTTTTTCGAGCACAAATTCAATAGCTCATCCGAAGGAGCACTACAAAATTCTTCCACTGACGTCATTATCAAAATCAACCAACCAAAGTTACAACAAATAACCTACTCCCAATTACAATTTACGCAGGTAATTCTTACGGTCAAAAACTGTGCACACATTCATTAATTCCCCACCTAATCCTATCGAAAAAAAAACTCTAAATAACTATTCCGAATCTTCATGCGCTCCCAAGAGTCGAGCCCTTTGAAGCACTCAGATACCGCTGGTGTGGAACTGAACAGATAGTTCAGAACTACTCCACGGCAGTGCACTCAACCCAGAAGCCGCACAAAAATAACAAACTAAAATAAAAAAAACCAACGCAATGCGCTGCTACAAGCTAACAGGGGAAATTTACATTAACACAGTTTTAAACCGCAAGAACTTACCTTTTCCTGATCGGACTAGAAACCCAAAGCCGCTCCAACAAACATTTCCCCCTCCTTGTCTCTCCCACCTATTACACAACAAATACCGATTACGAAAGCCAAAGATCAAATCAACTAAATTTAAATTAGACGAGCCCCCATATGTTACACCTGGCTCAAGGATGTAACATAATGAGGGAGACGACAAGGAGAAGTATAATCAAAAAGAATATTTATTTAGCTCAATTTAAATTATATAATCAAAATATCAGTATCAGTATGTTCAATCAGTGTGAAATGCAAATGAATGGATGCGGTAAATGTTGTCAGTGATAGTGTATGGATGCGAAAGAAAGCATAAAGGCCAAATAGGAGCGCGGCTCTGGCCAACTGCCAAGTGAATGGACAGCGGCCCAGACAAACTCTCTGCCGGGGTTTAAATAAGGGCGCTGACCAGCATCAGGTGCGCTGAAGGCACGCCCCCAATCTAGAAATCAAAATCAAACACACAAACAAAACAACGCAGTCCTAACAGTGTCCCATGCAACATTTTCCATTGCTGTTTTATTTTTCTGGGATCTCAGACCCTTCCTTGTCTGTTTTCCAGAATGCACTGATTTTCGACTTGCCATCCCACTTCTGACACCACTTGTTATGGAGACGACTTTTTTCAGGTCTCAAACCTTTTAAATCTTAAAAAAAAAAAAAAATGGCAACGTTAAAATAGCACAATGGTGCAAAGCGTTTTTGTTTACAGTGCTCAGTGAAAAAATCCCCAAAATAATAACCTGCAAAAACAAACATCTTTGCAAGACAAGTAGCACTTGGCTAACGTTTTCTTTCTACGAATAAAGAAATATGTTTACTCAACTTACTGCTCCACACAACTCCACAACCTACTTCTAAAGCCCAGCAGTTGCAACCACCATAGAGGAAGACGTAGTAGCGATAATGAAGACCTTTTTAATGGGCCATCAAAAAAAGAAAGAAGGTCTTATTTATGAGCTACGGGGGAGTCGTAGGAGTTAGGAGAGTGAGTAGTGGCATAACGGTATTTAGACGTACTGAGCCTGGAAAGCAAACACTTTGTATATATTTGTTTTGTTACTTTACTGCCTTTATTTATTTATTTTGTTGTTTGTTTATTTTTGTATATATATTTTGTCCTATTTTTGGGGTGATTTTGGGATTGGCCTCTTTTGCACTGTAAAGAAAAGCACCTCTGCACCATAGTGCTACGTCAGCTGAGCCATCATTTGTTTCTTGTTTCACAGTTATAGACAGATTTTACAACATAGAAAATGTATTAAAGGGCTATATGATTAATATAGGCTTCTTGGCATTGGTCAGGGCCCCTTATTTCCCGGGGCCCTAAGCGGCTGCTTACCTTGCTTATTGGTTAAGCCCACCCCTGCACGCCCCCATACTGAATGTCAGGCCCGGATTGGCTAATCGGAAGAACCGGGAGAATTCCTGGTGGGCCGGTCCGTTTTTTGGCCACGAGGGCTGGTGTCCCTAGCTGCTTGCACTCTCGGCAGTTGCACTTTTTTCATTTAATTGTTTATTCGACCATAGCCTCACTCTTTTTATTCATTAATTTGCCGCAGCTCCGCTCTTTTTATTTATTTTCTCGCAGCCCTGTGAGCAAAATGCAGCCCGCAGGTTAATGATCATTGTTGTTAGCACGTTACGTTACGACGCCGCCGATCCGAGTTCGAACCTCACCAGAGTATAATATATATTTTTCATTTTCAGTGTTAAGAAGTAAAAACTGTTTGGGTTACTTATGTAGAACTTCAAAAACATTTGAAGTTGTAAAGCAGCTGTGTTCTTGAAAAAGACATGTTAGTGTTATTTGAAACTGAATTGGAAATAACGTTATTTTAATATAGTCAGTCGTCGACTGAGGTGGGCCGGTGTAAGGCTTGCAACTCGGAGTCCCACTCCGGCCCTGCTGAATGTATCCCCAAACCGTGATTTTTCCTTCATCAAACTTGACTGGTTTCTGTGAGAATCTTGTGTCCATGCGGGTTCCAGTAGGTCTTCTGCAGTATTTGCGATGATTGGGATGCAGCTCAACAGATGATTCATCAGAAAAATCTACAGTCTGCCGCTTTTCTGAATGATCAACTAGAAGTCAAGTTATTATTTGTTGCTCTTACAACTGGGATCGATGACAAGACTTTTATCAGGTAGTGTAATGTTTATGCAGATTACTTTATTGCTGCATATTTGGCTTAATTCCAGAAATTATGCGTTTGAGTTTTAAATGGGCTTGAGATATTGATGCATGTGTGGTGTGGTTGTGATGGAGAAGTCAAATACAAATTCAAGCATTGGTTCTATTTGTAAATGTATATCAACAACACATCAACCTTTGCTTCACACATTTTATTGCAGACAAAACCATGAGACAAACCCGCAGAAAGCTCATATATAAAATCACAATGATCACACCATTGGCTCCGGTGCACTCTGCTAAATTTGATCAGCTTTCCCAGCTAAAGCGAAACACTCTTTATTGCTTGCATTTCTTCAATGAATCAGTTGATTCTTCAGCATAATAAAGCCCATAGGCTCATTAGCACACATGGAGATGAGAACAGATAGTTCTAGGACCATCAGTAGTGGAAAGTTCTTCGGTCAGAATGTCCATGTACTTTTTCACAAACCACCTGCACAGAGGTCTAAGGAACCCGATCCCATCACAGACCTGCGCCAGCTGATTTTTAATTTCCTCCTGTAACAAACCCAAGCAGAATTAACGTGAATTGTTTATATATTCCTGTATTAGAATAAGATCAATGTAATAATGAAATTGTTCACACAAAAATTTAATTCTGTCATCATTCACTTATCTTGTTCTAACACAAAAGAAGATATTTTAAAGAATGTTGGAAAACGGTGACCATTGACATCCATAGTATTTGTTTTTAGTCTTCTAGAGAAGTCAGGTTTTCAGCTTGTTTTCAAAATATCTTCGTTTTGAGATTTTGTGTTAAGGTTTTAAAACCACACAAGAGTGAATAAATGGTGTTCATTTACATTTTAGGGTGAACTATCCCTTTAAAAGGGTGTTCTTTCTGAAGATTGACCTTATTTGCTGTATTGGAGATATGTTGCCTCAGCTTTCCCATGGCCCACTTGCAAGCCCAGCATAGTCCAGGCAGTTGTTCCTTTGGAATTTCGCCCTGACAAGACAACATGAAGCATGTTAGACTCAATGTTTTGACTCCTAGAAACCATTTCATAATTGAAAAACAAGCATAACTAGCTGTTTCAAAGCTGCTTCTTTGTATCTTGCAAACACTCGGTTTTACATCACACTGATAAAAATGATTCAAAGATGATTCCTGGGATTTACTACATTTTTTAAGAGGTTGGAATTGATTTATTTGGGCAGAATTTTAACAAATAAGTTAAATTGAACATTACTACATTTTAACGATCATGATGCAAAGTCTAAAGCGCAGGGTGCAAAAGCATTAAGGGCTTGTCCGAATCCACTTTTGCTATTTTAAGGACGGAAAAATATGGTTTGCGCCCTGACGCATTGTCTAACAGCGTTGTGCTTATTCTCTTAATGAGTTATGGCTGCGTTTTGAGTATAACATGCATTAAACCAATCAGAGTCTCATCTTCCGAGTCAGTTGTGTTGCACTATGGTGTATTTGCTATTTGTAACAGTTAAACAAACCATCTGCAGCGTGAGGATAAGAACTAGCATCTGCCATTCGGCCTCTTTATCTTTACTTTTACTCTTCACTTTACTCCTTTACTTTTGTCAATAAGGAAACAGTGTTGTACACACTCCACTGAAGACATCTATTAGCCTACATATTTAATTTCGTTCGGTAAGTTCGGTAAGTAAAGGATTTGTTTCAAAGCTATTTCTAAATTGAGTTCTAATTTCCAGCAAATTAATAAATGAACAATAATAAGGAAGTGTGGTCAAAAACTGAGTTAGACCCAAACACACGTCCTAATCTTATGCCCCACATGATGATGCAGATGTCTCCAAAACTTGACAGGTGGACAAATCTAAACCTGTTTTTATTAAAACAAATATAAATATGCATATGTAATACTAATAATAATGCACTGCGCTGGACTTTAGACCAGGGTTTAATTGGTCAAAGGCGGAGTCTATTTCAGTTCTTAAAAATAGCAACACTCCAACTATGCGCCCTAACACACCTTCTTTATAGACTGGCACACCCATGAGTCCACAATGTGGCGCAAATGGATTTGCTATTTAAATAATGTGACACAAAACGGGAAAATTACTGTGGTGCTGGTCTGAAAATAGCAACAAATCGTCCATAAACATGTTGCTTCTTATTGCGCAGAGTGTATGTAGTGTATGTACTGTTTGTTTGGCATATTTATAGCTGCATAATCCACCCACATGAAAATGTACTAAAGTAATTTATATTAAATACTTAGGGGTGTCAAAATTATTATGTACTGACGTCATTTATCTCATAAAGCGCTCTGTCGCGAGGGAGGCGAGCGCGGGTATTCACAATACTCCAGGCGCCAGCTAAAATGCAGAAACTGTGCACAATTTCACTGTGTGTGTGTGTTTTGTGGACAGACTCTCCCTGACACTTACAGCAGAAGCCTCTATTTCTCTGTGATTGAGGGAATGAAAGTAAACTCCAATTCTCTTGCTCTCTCTCTCTCTCTGTGTGGCCCATTTCACCTGCTGGCGTGACTTTTCCTTCCCTCTCTTTTCCTCTCAGCTGTTACAGTGATACTTCTGGATATAGGTCTGCATTCCCACGGCTGTACCTGTGCATTGTTGCGGGACCCGACAAGATTATATTATAATAAATAAATAAATTAATATAAATTTCTGAATAAAGCACGGGAGCGGTTGGTAACTCTAGTGTAATTTTAAGGAGGATTTTTAGGAGTGGACGGTCTCCCAGTATCGCTCCCAAGCAAGCGTGCACGTGTGTGTGTGTGTGTGTTTAAAGACAGCTTGTTATAGTCACCCCCCAATATAAAACACTGTGTATGGAAAGCATCGTCAATGCATCGTGATGCACCGAGATATTGAATTGAACCGAATTGATGGCATAATAATCGTAACCGAATCGAACCGTGAGACCAGTATAGGTTCACACCACTATAAATACTATAGTGTTTTTAAACCATACTATAGTAAACCATACTATAGTGAGAAATAGTGTATTATATTGCATTTGCAACTCTTATTTAATGAATGCTGCAGCATACTGTAGTACTAAGAAAAAAACATTTTTTTACCATTGACTTCCATGGTGATTTGGAATATTTTGGAAGTCAATGGTTAAAAGTTTCTGACATTTTTCTAAATTTCTTTTCTTTTTTTCTTCCGTGATCATCAGAAAAAGGTTTGAAACCACTTGGGGGTGAGTAGTAGTATGTTTTTATTTTGGGCTGAACTAACCCTGTTAAAGTGATACATTGAGTGATCTATCTGAAGGATAGAACTGTCTCAGTTAGTTTGGGCAACTCTTCTTCATCTGTCATTCAATTAACGTGTGGGGTTCCGCAGGGTTCAATACTGGGTCCTGTTTTGTTTTCCCTTTACTTCTGTTAGGAAAAATTTGTGAAAAGCATGGCATAAATTACCCTCTATATGCTGATGACTCTCAAATCTACTTCCCTATAAAATCTAGGGATCAATCCTCCCTTCAGGCTTTGTTTAATTGTTTGGCTGATGTGAAGTGTTGGTTCGCTAATAATTTTCTCCAACTGAATGAAGACAAGTGCGAATTCATTGCTTTTGGCCAAAAAGGTTCAGATTCTAATGGCAATCTGTAATTGCTTCCTAGGAAAATACATTCCTTTGTAAAGAGTCTTGGTGTCATCTTTGACTCTGAGCTAAAGTTTGATTGGCAAATTAATGCGGTTTTCAAAAATAGTTTTTTCTATTTTAGATATATTGCCAAGCTGAAGTCTGTCCTTTCTTTCAGTAATTTGGAGAAGGTTGTTCATGCTTTCATCTCTTCTCGTCTGGACTATTGCAACACATTGTATTTGGGTGTGAGTCAGGCCTCTCTCTCGCGACTGCAGCTAGTCCAGAACGCTGCTGCCAGGCTCTTAACAGACACAAAAAACGAGAACACATTACACCTGTACTTGTTTCTCGACACTGGCTGCCAATCCAGTTTAGAATTCAGTACAAAGTTCTGTTGTTTGTTTATAAATTCCTCCATGGCCTGGCCCCTGAGTATATTTCTGAGCTAATTATTATGCACCAAACTGTGAGATCTCTTCGCTCTATGGACCGTCTCTATTTGCAAGTTTCTAGATCACGCTTAAAATGTCGAGGTGATGGAGTTTTCTCGGTAGCAGCTCCGAGACTTTGGAACGATCTTTCACTCTCTTTAAGAACAGCTCCAACTTTTGAGTCTTTTCAGAGGTCACTGAAAACACACTTATTTTCTTTAGCTTTTAATCATGTGATGTGAGTTTATGTATTTTGGTTTTAAATATATTTACATGCATTTCAAGAGTTCCCACTTAGATATGCTTGGCATTTAAAGCAGGTTTGGCATGCTGTCCTGGGAGAGAACCCTGAGCTCAGAGATATAGTCAATAAGCATATCAGGGGATCCGAGATCAGGAAGGTCTCGATAGCTCCCCCTTTAGAAAAAAGGGGGGAAAAGGAGGAGATGGGTTGGAAGGGGGGTTTCTTCCAAAACGAAGATAGAGCAGTAAGGAGAAAATGATCCATTTATAGTAAGCTAGGATCGCTCTGATTGGATTGTTACTGATTACGGATGAGTGGCCAACAGTGCTCAATCATATCACGTGCTCCTCTCGAAATTAGTTTATAAAACTTCACTTTATATGTTTTATGCACAGCACTTTGGTAATCATTGTGGTTTGTGAAAGTGCTCTAGAAATAAATTGAGTTGAGTTGAGTTGAGTTGAGAGTTGAGTTGAGTGTGTAAACCTGTTGTAACTTGGACATGTTAAGTTGACTGAACATAATATTGATAATTATGCACACGATTAATTTACTTAATTTTAAAAAAGTAAAGTCAACTAATCACTTTAAAAGCAACTCACCTTTTAAAACCTTTTTTTAAAAAGTAAAGTCGCTGTAAAACTCATCTAGTTAGAGTTAAAATAATTGTTTTTATTAACGGGTTTACTCACTTTTTCACTAATGAATAATTTAGTATACTTTAGATTTTAGCTCAGTGAACTTTGGTTTGTTTTAGTATAATAATGTATAGTGGTATTTACTATAAATTTCTATAGCAGTTTTTTTTCATGTGGGATTTCTTTATAGTGGTCATGAAAAATACTAAGAAATCTAGAAATTATTAAAATCCTCAAGGAAGTCTGGAATTTTTTTTTTTACTGAATATGAAGTAATTAGTGATCTGCAACTGTTAGTGTATATATATATATATATATATATATATATATATATATATATATATATATATATATATATATATATATATATATAACCTTGCATTTTCATTTTTAATTTCAGCTCCATCAAATGTTTCAAAAGCAATCGAACAATGTAAAATGACAAATTTCTAAAAGTTTTGAATATCTGTTATTATTAATGGCAATATGTGTTAATTTAATAAAACATCTTAATCAAAACACTGCAGACTGTGGAAGTGAAAAATAAGGTTTGTCTATTAGCAGTGGGACATAAATAACAGTGTTACTTTCGTTCCCACAGGAAATCTTAAACCTGATTTACTTTTAAAAAGACATTTCAAACCTGAACATTTGTTATTGCACTAAATAATAACCTGTAAATTGATTATTAATGTGATGCATGACAAGAAAACACAACTTAAGAAAATATAATCGCTACAATTATGTACTCTCTGCACTTAAAAGACTGAAATTGGAAGCTAACTGATCCCAAAATCAGCTGATATTTGGCAGATCCATCAAGGGTTGCATCCATAATAGGCTGTTATATCCTGGAAAGCAAATGTTAACAGGGCTTCGAGAAAATAGCTTTACTTTTATCTAGGGCTGGGCGATATGGCAAAAAAAAAAAAAAAAAACTTGATTTTTTTTTTATAAAGTTTGACCGATTCACAATTTCGTGTTGAGAGATCGAATTTATCGAATTGATAAGAGAATATGTCTTGACAATCCACACAGACGTGACTTAGTAAAGCGTGAAGTCATGTAGGATTTTACGTGTTGCATTAGTGAATGTAAATCCCCTCGTCAGGCAGTGCTGGAGTAGCGTGAGAAAGTGGACCAAAGCGCGTTTGATGCAAAGGTATTAACAAAAGAAAAATACGCAACTTAAGATAAATGCTTGTATTTGTTGTATTTACACCAGCTCTGCGATGCATGCCCACAACTTCATGAATTTGGTGTTCAGGCTGTCACTTCCATTAAAACCCAGACAGGGAGTTAGGCAGAGTATACAGAGAGTGAACCAAAGCGCATTGGTGCAATTACAATGTATCTAATGTTTTTTTTTTTATAAAAAAATTGCGATTCCTCAATTTAATTGAAAATTAAATCGTCTTAAAACATAAATTTGAATTAATCGAAAAAATAAAATAAATCGAACAGCCCTACTTTCATCCCACTGCAAACCAATAACTGCCATTTGATATTAAACACTATTACATTAAACATTTTTATAGTCAGGGCAATCCAGGGTATGTTATTTCCAGTTAACAACCGCTTAACAACTATACTTTTGGTCAAATATGAGATTGTATCAGATATGTTTCAAATCATAATTTTGTACCTATTATTGCACTATTATTTTTGTAATTAGAATTTACCTTTTTGTTTGGTGTGTTACTTTTGTCCCACGTTACCTTCGTCCTTGCTTTATATTTATTTATATTAAGTTAATCGTAAAATGTATAGTGCTAATAAAGTTGGCATGGGAATAAACCTAAAGACAATACCAACGACACTTATCTTACATGCTATTACCTGTAGGTTAAATAAAATAAAAAATTTATGAGATCATAAGTGATATTGACTCACAGAGCCTTCAAAGTCAAATTCCGGAAAGGGTTCTTTGTGCATCTCCAAGTGAGCAGCACAAGCTGTAAGGAAAAAGATTTAACACATATAAACGTTAAACTAAGAAAATAGGATGAATAAAAATGCATTATGGGCACATTAAAGATGGTTAAGACAGACTAATAGACTGATATAAGTGAATCTGCCGATTTTTACCAGAGGAGATGAGCAGGGTGAGCAGGACGATACCGCGCAGCATCTTGTTTGCCAAAGAGTTGAAACAGAATGACACTGAAAGGTCTTGTTTAGATAAGTTTTTACGACTATGTTCAACCAAACCCAAACACATTGCGAAGTGAGATCTATTTAAAAACTTGACACTTCCTAACACCTTGACTTGATAGCAAAAAGAAACAAACAGTTTTTTTAAATCTTCCTGTATGTTATACTTACTGTAAGTTATAATGCATACAGTGCATCCTGAGTATTTATAGCTTCACATTTTTAATGTTACAGCCTTATTCCTAAATGGATTAAATTAATTTATTTCCTCAATTCTACACACTATACCCCATAATGACAATGTGAAAGAAGAGTTTTTGGAATTGTTGCAAATTTATTAAAAATAAAAAACCCTGAAAAATCAGATGTACAGAAGTATTCACAGCCTTTGCTCAGTACTTTGTTGATGCACCTTCGACAGCAATTACAGCCTCAAGTCTTTTTGAATATGATGCCACAAGCTTAGCTCACCTGTCTTTGTGAATTTTCACTTATTCCTCTTTGCAGTACCTCTCAAGCTTTATCAGGTTGGATGGGAAGCGACAGTGTACAGCCATTATCAGATCTCTCCAGAGATGTTCAATAGGATTTAGAGATCTGGGCTCTGGCTGGGCCACGCAAGGACATTGACATTGGCTTGACATTGAGTTGTTGTAAAGTCACTCCATTGCTATTTTGCCGGTGTGCTTTGGGTCATTGTCCTGCTGGAAGAAGAACCGTCGCCCCAGTCAGGTCAAGAGCACTGTGAAGCAGGTTTTCATTCAGGATGTCTCTGTACATTGCTGCATTCATCTTTCCCTCTATCCTGACTAGTCTTCCAGTTCCTGCTGCTGAAAAACATCTCCACAGCATTATGATGCCACCACCATGCTTCACTGTAGGGATGGTATTAGTCTGGTGATAAGCGGTGCCTGGTTTTCTACAAACGTAACGCCTGGCATTCACTCCAGAGAGTTAAATTTTTAGTCTCATCAAAGAATTTAGTTTCTTATGGTCTGAGAGTCCTTCAGATGCTTTTTGGCAAATTCCAGGTGGGGAGTGTCTTCCGTCTGGCCACTCTACCATACAGGCCTGATTGGTGGATTGCTGCACAGATGGTTGTCCTTCTGTAAGGTTCTCCTCTCTGTACAGAAGAACGCTGGAGCTCAGACAGAGTGACCATCGGGTTATTGATCACCTCCCTGACTAGGCCCTTCTCCTGGTGGTTCCAAACATCTTCCACTTACGGATGATGGAGGTCACTGTGCTCATTGGAACTTACAGAACAGCAGAAATTTTTCTGTACCCTTCTCTAGCCTTGTGCCTCGAGACAATATTGTCTCTTTTGTGTGGGTTTAAAAATCTGTAGTGAGCTAATGCTGATTGATTACAACACAAAATTGGCACACTTCACATTCCACCCTAGACTTACCATAGACTTTCATTCATATGCATGCGTATGCGACAGATTGCAAATGCAAGCTCATGCGAAAAGTTTTGCAGTTCGATGCATTGCAAAATTCAAGTTCAGTGAACTCTGACCTGTGAAATTGCATCATGTGACTTCGTGAGACCAATCGAAGATCAAAACATGACCTCTCAGGACAGAAATTTTAAATATGGAGCAATTGCTTTTTTATCTTTAATGTCTAATCATCTTGTTTAACCCCGCCATTTTTTATAGCACTGTACGACAAAATTTTGCATGCTCAAACTCTAGTGTAACTGCGGCATAACAATCCCAAGACAGGTGCAACCAATCATAAAAAAGGATATTTAAGATAGCTGATTGCTAATTGTGCTTCTCATCAATTGTGAACCAGAAAATAGCAACATGGGAACCTCAAAAGAACTTCCTAATGACTAAAAAACTAGGATAATTCACCAACATGAACTAGGAGAAGGATGTAAAAAGCTATCACAAAGGTTTAAAGTTTCTATTTCTACGGTCAGAAATATAGTAAGAAAATGGAAGGCCTCAGGAACAGTTCTTGTGAAGGAAAGATGCGGTAGCCTGAGAAAAATGTCTGTAAGACAAAGAATGGTTAGAATGGTCACAGACAAAACACAGACATCTAAAAAGAGCTTCAGGAATGTCTTGCTCCTGATAATGTCATTGCACATCAATCTACAGCCCAGCGCATTCTTCTCAATGAACAGCTCGATGGAAGGTGATGCAGAAGAAGCATTCTGCCAACAAGAGTCATTTGAGGTAAGCAAAGGCTCATCAGGGCATCATTTTGGGAAACTATACTGTGGACAGATGAAACTAAGATCGAGTTATTTGGTCACAACCACAAGTGCTTTGCATGGCGGAAAAAGAACACTGCATCCCAGGAGAAGAACCTGCACCCTACTGTAAAATATGGTGGAAAGTCCATCATGCTGTGGAGATCTGTGGCAAGCACAGGTACTGGAAATCTTGTCAGAGTTAAAGCTCACATGGATGCACCCAGTATCAGCAGACTTCTGAAGGACAATGTTCAGGAATCAGTCAGGAGGTCAAAGTTATGCCAGGATTGGATGTTTCAGAAGGACAATAACCTAAAGCACAGTTATAGATCTCCCAAAGAATTCATACAATGTTCTGGTATGACCATCCCAGTCCCCAGACTTGAAAATAATAGAAAAACTATGGATTGATTTGAAAAGGGCCATTCACGCTCAGCACCCATCATACCTGACTGGAGAAATGTGGTAAGGAAGAATAGTCCAAAATGCCTTCAGCAAGGATTCAGGCACTATAAGAAGCATCTATAAGCTGTTATTTCAGCAAAAGTTTTCTCTAAAGAATATTGATGTCATTATTCTGTTGGGGTGCCCAAATATTTGCACTTGTCTGTATTTGTTATGATTTAAATTGCATTAAATCTGTTGATTAAATAAATGTCATGTCAGATTTGAAATGTTGTTTTTTTCCCTAGGGTATAAAATATATTCAAATGAAATTGCTGCTTTGAAAGGCCAGCAGACTATGACTTACAATTATGATAATTATCAGGGCTGCCCAAACCTTTGCATAAAACTGTGTATCATTATGATGATATGAGATTGCTGGATTTGTCAGCTGCTTTTGACACTGTAAACCACCAGATCCTGCTATCTACGCTTGAGTCACTGGGCTTTGCAGGCACTGTTATTCAGTGGTTCAGATTTTACCTCTCTGACAGGTCTTTCAGGGTGCCTTGGAGGGGGGAGGTGTCCAACCTACAGCATCTAAACACTGGGGTACCACAGGGCTCTGTTCTTGGGCCACTTCTCTTCTCCATCTACACGACATATTTATAAGCAGACATCCAGAAACATGGATTTTCCTACCACTGCTATGCTGATGATACCCAGCTATACCTCTTTTTTCACCCTGATGATTCCAGCTCACATCTCAACCTGCCTGTCAGACATTTCACACTGGATGAGAGATCATCATCTTCAGCTTAACCTCTCGAAAACGAAAATGCTTGAAGTTTCTGCCAACCCGACTCTACACCATAACTTTTCAATCCAGATGGATGGGGCAACCATTACTGCATCCAAAACAGTGAAAAGCCTTGGAGTAACGATTAATGAACAACTAAACTTCTCTGACCACATTTCAAGAACTGCTCGATCTTGCAGATTCGCACTCTATAACATCAGAAAGATCCGACCCTTCTTATCTGAACATGCAGCTCAACTCCTTGTTCAAGCTCTTGTTCTCTCCAGATTGGACTATTGCGACTCTCTGCTAGCCAGGCTTCCAGCTAACTCTATCAAACCTCTTCAGATGCTTTAGAACGCAGCAGCACAAGTGGTCTTTAATGAACCTAAAAGAGCACATGTCACTCCGCTGCTCATCCGTTTGCACTGGCTGCCAGTTGCCGCTCGCATCAAATTCAAAGCTCTGATGTTTGCTTATAAAGCGACTTCTGGCTTTGCTCCTTCTTATCTGCTCTCACTTGTGCAGATGTATGTGCCCTCCAGAAACTTGCGTTCTGTGAATGAACATCGTCTCGTGGTTCCATCCCAAAGAGGGAAGAAATCACTTTCCCGAACTCTCGCGTTCAATCTGCCCAGTTGGTGGAATGAACTCCCTAACTGCATCAGAACGGCAGAGTCACTCGCTGTCTTCAAGAAACGACTAAAAACTCAACTATTTAGTCTCCACTTCCCTTCCTAATCTGCAATTGCCTCTCTGGTTCTACCGCTAACTGTACTACAAAAACAAAATTACTAATGTTTTGCTTCTTAAACTTTACATACCTGAAACTTGCCTACAGCACTTATTCATTGTTGCTCTTATATTTGTGTAAATTGCTTCCTTGTCCTCATTAGTATGTCGCTTTGGATAAAAGCGTCTGCTAAATGACTAAATGTAAATGAGATGATCATATCATGATATGATATTTTTGTCATATGATCCAGCCCTTGCAACAACACAACACAATGTTTTCACACTTCAACCACCACACAGACACGACCCACAGACACCTAAACCCCTCCACACGTTTTCATGGCTTGTCACTAGCTCTCATTTCCTTTCAAGCAGTTTCTCAAGAAAAATATGCTACTGATATGTTTTCTGGTATAAAGTGAGAAGAATTATAGTAAACATAGAGCCAATATTGTAAATTATAGATCTAATAATAGGACACATTTTTCAGCTCAAAATACCACACAAATAATGCTTAATAACTCTTTAAAATGTCCCTTTTAGGCTTTGATCCGAATTGTGCCATTTTGGTGACTGTCACTTTAAATTCAAATGAGATTGTGCTCTTTTCATAAGAGGGCGGAGCTACAAAGGCCTATGTGTCTGCATAACAGCAGTTTCAAAAACAAGACTAACTTCCTATGCTAATGAGGGAGAGATTGTCACTAATGGGCAGGGCTTTCTCTCTCTGATGACACATACAAGAGGCGAATGTCATTCAAGCGCCATTATAAAAAATAAAATTTATAGATTTTTTATCATTAGAGGCTGGCTATCTTTACACGCTTTTACCACACAACTGTTTATACCCCTTATTTAAGGGCACCTACTTTACCTCTTTTACAAGATGTAAGACAAATCTTTGGTCTCTCCACAGTGTGTCTGTAAAGTTTCAGCTCAAAATACTCATCAGATCATTTATTATAACATTTAGAATCTGCCCATTTTGGTGTCTCATTACATTGTAGCTGTTTTTGTAGTCTGTGGCTTTAAATGCAAGCGAGCTGCTACTCCCCGCCTGTTTCCACATGCGCGTCTACTTCTCATCATGCGTTACGTCAGATAAATAGCAGTCAGTGACAGAGACCGACTCGATGAAGCTTAAATACAGCTCATTAGTCAAATTACAAAGTAAGTTTATATGATTTATTTGTTGTGCAGTTTATTCAAGCCTTTCTGAAATGGTGAGTCTCACACAAATGCTGTTTGCAGTACACACACACACGCACACACATTAGCAGTTACTGACACCATTCAACGATGGTGATTATAGCGGTTGAGAATTGCATAGCAATTTTATTTCTTTATTACAAACATGCTCTGTTTTATAAATGTTTTAAAACCCTAACCCTAACTTATAAATAATATAAAAATCACAGAGAGGTGTGACAAATATTTGAAACCCAGGATATTTGCAAACAAAATTGTAACATTTTTTTATGTTACAGAATTATTCCAAAATGGATTAAATTAATTTATTCATTCATTTTCTTTTCAGCTTAGTCCCTTTATTAATCTGGGGTCACCACAGCGGAATAAACCGCCAACTTATCCAGCATATGTTTTACACAGCAGATGCCCTTCAGGCTGCAACCCATCTCTGGGAAACATCCACACACACTCACTTACACTCATACACTATGGACAATTTAGCCTACCCAATTTACCTGTACTGCATGTCTTTTTACTGTGGGGGAAACCAGAGCACCTGGAGGAAATTAATTTATTTCCTCAAAACACTACACACAATACCCCATAATGACAATATGAAAAAAGATTTTTTGAAACTGTTACAAATTAATTCTAAATAAAAAACCTGAAAAATCAAATGTACATCAGTGTTCACAGCCTTTGCCATGACGCTCTGAATTGAGCTCAGCTACATTCTGTTTCCACTGTTTCCATTCTTGATGTTTTAGCAGCTTAATTGAGTTCACCTGTGGTCAATTCAGTTGATTGGACATGATTTGAAAAGGTATACACCTGTCTATATAAGGTCCCAGGGTTGATAGTGCATGTCAAAGCACAAACCAACCATGAAGACAAGGGAATTGTCTCTAGACCTCTAAGACAGGATTGTCTCCAGGCGCAAGGTTGGGGAAGGGTACAGAAAAGTTTTTGCTGCTCTGAAAGTTCTAATGAGCACAGTGGCCTCCATCATCCGTAAGTGGAAGATGTTTAGAACCACCAGGACTCTTCCTAGAGCTGGCCGGCCATCTAAGCTGAGTGATCGGGGGAGAAGGGCCTTATTCAGGGAGGTGATCAATAACCCGATGGTCACTCTGTCTGAGCTCCAGTGTTCTTCTGTGGAGAGAGGAGATCCTTACAGAACGACAACCATCTGTGCAGCAATCCACCAATCAGGCCTGTATGGTAGAGTGGCCAGATGGAAGACACTCCTCGCCTGGAATTTGCCAAATGGCATCTGAAGGACTCTCAGACCATAAGAAACTAAATTCTCTAGTCTGATGAGACTGAATGAAACCTGCTTCAGAGTGCTCTTGACCTTAGACTGGGGTGACGGTTCATCTTCCAGCAGGACAATGACCCAAAGCACACCGCCAAAATATCAATGGAGTGGCTTCACAACAACTCTGTCAATGTCCTTGAGTGGCCCAGCCAGAGCCCAGACCTAAATTCTATTGAACATCTCTGGAAAGATCTGAAAATGGCTGTACACCGTTGCTTCCCATACAAGCAGATAGAGCTTGAGAAGTGCTGCAAAGAGGAATCGGAAAAAATTCCCAAAGACTGGTGTGCCAAGCTTGTGGCATCATATTCAAAAAGACTTGAGGCTGTATTTGCTGCCAAAGGTGCATCAACAAAGTATTGAGCAAAAGCTGTGAATACTTCTGTACATCTGATTTTTCAGGGTTTTTATTTTGAATAAATTTGCAACAGTTTCAAAAACTCTTCTTTCACATTGTCATTATGGGGTATTGTGTGTAGAATTGAGGAAATAAATTAATTTAGTCCGATTTGGAATAAGGCTGTAACATAAACAAATGTGGAAAAAGTGAAGCGCTATGAATACTTTCTGGATGCACTGTACATGTTATTATAAAAACATGGAACCTGTCAATCAATTTGGTGGACAGGGAAAACCGCACTTCTACGTCACTTTGTTGTGGGCCTCAAAATCACTGCTATTTGAGTCCTGTTTTAACGTCAGGAAATAAAAATAAAAAAGACTTGTTAAGTTTATATCACTCTAATATGACAGTGGACACACTATACATACAGACAGTTCTGTCCAAACAGCTTACAAAAGTTAATTATTGCATAAAAGGTCTCCTTTAAGACAGATTTATACAGACTTATATTTTCAGACTATATATTTTTATGGTTTTGAATTCCTAGACTGCATGGAGTTTGCAAAAAAACGAATTCCATATACTATAATTCAAAATGTCATATAAGATTCAGTTTTATTAAATTACACTTGTCAATAACCAATGTGCACCATTAAAATTCACATAGTTTTGTCATATTTGTAGCTCCATACATGGTCAGTTGTTTAAAATTATTTGGCGATGCAATAAAAAAATTCAAAAGGTTATTTCATGTATTCTATAACTCAGCTAATATGAGAAAAACATGACAAGGGAGGAAATGGCTTGTGTGGTTAATCAAAATCTCAATTAATTATTTAAATGGCATCAATACATTTCATAATTGCTCATTTAATGCATCTAGTTTAGCATCTGATGGAAGTTATTATGCTAGTTTTGTGGCAAAAGGGCTCATGATAAGTGTGATGTGTGTGGAAATGTAGTATAAATTCACACATTCGTGTTAGATGGTCTCAGAAGGTACCACACAGGAAGTGTCATACTCAAGTTTCCTTCGTTTTTCTCGACTTTACAATGCAGTTAAGTTTAATACTTACTTGAGAGAGAAAAAAATATCTGTCAGCACTTAATGCACAAGTTTTATTTCAAGTTACAATTTCCAGAAACCATTCATGGGCTATTTTGCACTTTAAAGTGTTGCTATTACACTTTTTTTCTTTTCTTTTTTACAAGATGTGTATACAAGGTGTTAGGCATATTATGAGATGTATGTTCCCTGAAGAAAAGAGCGAAAGAGGGTTCAGAAACAGTGCTTACTGATAAAGTGAATATTTCCTTTAGGAGTGTATTTATAACTTGTATAACTTTATAACAATTTTTTTTGCATGTTTAAACAATAAAATGGCACACCAAAAGTAGTTGAAAAGAGTAAAAGCAAGTTAAGTTTGTGTGAAACTCATCTCTGTGTCCTGGTAGTTTGATGGTTAGCCACAAGAAGCCTTCATTCAGCTGAAGCTACAACCAAATGTCACGCACAGCTGACTGAATTACGGCAGACTGAACTACTGTTTATTCTCTTAAGTCTAGACTTTTCAAAACATACTTTTATATGGAGCCAGATCAGTCTCAAAAATAATACATTTGCAAAATAAAATTCATAGATTCACAACAGAATTCGGCGAGGCGCAGTAGGTAGTGCTGTCGCCTCACAGCAAGGTCGCTGGGTCGCTGGTTCGAACCTCGGCTCAGTTGGCGTTTCTGTGTGGAGTTTGCATGTTCTCCCTGCCTTCGTGTGGGTTTTCTCCGGGTGCTCTGGTTTCCCCCACAGTCCAAAGACATGCGGTACAGGTGAATTGGGTAGGCTAAATTGTCTGTGTGTGTGAATGTGTGTGTGGATGTTTCCCAGAGATGGGTTGCGGCTGGAAGGGCATCCGCTGTGTAAAAACTTGCTGGATAAGTTGGCGGTTCATTCCGCTGTGGCGAATGAATGAATAACAGAATTCACATTCACAAAATCAAATTCGTAAATAGAAAACACGATTCAAAAATACACAAATCCAATTCGAAAATTCAAAACACGATTCATAAACACACAGATCCAATTTGTAAATGTAAAACACGATTCATAAACACACAATTCCAATTTGTAAATTTAAAACACGAATCATAAATGCACAAATCCAATTCGTAAATTCAAAACACAATTCATAAACATGTAAATTCTTTTCGGAAATTTAAAACATGATTCATATGCAAATCCAATTTATTTAGTGGAAATATAAGTTTGATTAATTTTTAACATTTTTACTGATGAATTCACAAATTTTGTTTACAAAGTGGATGTTTGTAAATGTGATTTGTGCTGTGCATGTATGAATTTCATTGTGTAAATATAATACTTTGAGACTAATCTGGCTCCATATTTTTAAACCTATTTGTTTTATTGCATTTTTTTTTATCCTAAAAGCATTTGTATTTGTTTTTAAATATCATTTGTAAGTCGCTGAGAAAAAAATGCACTCTTCTTAAATACAAAAAGCAATGATCTAGTTTGAGACTCTTTGCAGATTTGATTGTGCGTTTTATGTAAACCATTAGTCTGGGTAGTTAAAAAAGACACAACGTGCAGCATATACTTCTGACCTGAGATTGAAAGCTCTTTACATTTAGAAAGCTCAGAACAATGATTTAAGAAAATAATAATAACAAAAGAAAACACAGAAAGCAGATTTTTATACAGTCATATATTTAATGAGCTTTCACTGTAATTCATATGCTTCATTCACATCTTTTTATTCTCATTCACAGCTTGCTATAAGCCTGCTCATGAATAAAAATGAACTCTTTAATGGGTGGTTCAGATCTAGAACAAACAAAATGCAAAATATTAAAATCTCCTCAGTTAATTCAATGTGTTGCCATAAACAATGAGCATTTCTGTAGTACTTACTTGCAGGCGTGCACTTTAGTACAGATGGTGTTTGGTCCGTCGTCGTTCATCAGCTCGTCGATCAGAGTGTGTATGTGCTTCTGAATAAATTTCTTGCACTGACTTTTCAGCACTACAGCTTTATTACAGATGTTCATCAGATTGTTTTTGATTTCATCCTGAGGGAAAAGATGTGTTTTAGTCAAGGCCACTGTTAACAGTTTCCTGTAGAATCTATGGTAACTCACTGATAGCAGGATGTTGTAAATCAGTTAAAGCAAAGATACAGTATTTACATGTTCAGCACCAGTTATCTTGCTCTATTATGTATTTTGTATATCTTTGCTGTAAAATATACAGTAATTTTCAAAATGCAGCTAAAATACAGTACTGCATAACCGTCTTACAGTAAATTACAGTTTATATTACAGTTAAATATTGTATAAATCACAAAAAATCCTTAACAGTGCATGGTCAGTTCAAAAACGTGGTATTAATAATGACACTCACCGGCGTTGACTTAGTGGAAAGTCTCTTCTTCACCTGATTCATGATGTATTTACATATTGTGCATTTACCGGGAAACTTCTGCTTTACCATGTTGTCTTCCTGAAAACACACCAAACCGATATGTATCATCAAACAATTAAAATTATACTTCAGATTATCCAGCACAATTGCTCTACAAATCTCTTAAATAACTCAAGAAGACAATACAGAGACTATGAACAAGAGTTAGCTAGTTATTTATACCTCTTTATTGCATAAATAAACCAGCTAAAAGGGAATGCACACTTGTATATTATTGTTTTTTAATAAAATTCTTCATGTGACATTAATATAATACCCTTTCTGTTCTTTACTAATATTCTTAAAGGGATAGTTCACCCAAAACTGAAAAATCTGTCATCATTAACTCGTTGTTTGACTTGTTTGAGTTTCTTTCTTTTGTTAAACACAAAAGAGGAATTTTGAAAAATGTTGGGCATCTGTAAGCATTGACTTCCATAGTGTGAAAAACAAACACCATTGATGTCAATGGTTACAGGTTTCCACATTTTTCTAAATATCTTCTCTTGATGAAAGAAGGAAAGTCATAAAGCTATGGTTCCACATGTGGGTGAGTAAATGGTGGGTACATTTTCATTGGGTGAGCTGTCCCTTTAAATAAAACTTTAAACATCATGGAAAGTGTTTTTCATTCATTCATTTTCATCAGATTAGTGTCTATTTCAGAGGTCGCCACAGCAGAATGAACCACCAACTATTCCAGCATATGTTTAATGCAGTGGATGCCGTTCTAGCTGCAACCGAGTGCTGAAAAACACCCATACACTCTTGCATTCACTCACACTCATACACTACAGCAAATTTAGTTTATTCAATTTATCTATAGTGCATGTCTTTGGACTGTGGGGGAAACCGGAGGAAACCAATGGGAACACGGGGAGAACACGCAAACTCCATACATACATGCCAACTGACCCAGCCGAACCTTTGCCCTTTTTGCTGTGAGGCGAAAATGCCAACCACCGAGCAACTGTGCTGCCAGTTTTGTTTTTCCTGAATCGTTTTAGTTGGATGTTTGTCTAAAGATTTAAAAATATAATAGCTATTTCACACAATTTTAGATGTAACCATCTTTCCCATTGATTTTGGATAAAAGCATTGCTAAATGAAGAAAAGTAAACGTTCTTATTGTGTTCCAAATTAAATATTAAAATGGGATGTTTCCTTAACGTTCGTAATAGCAAGAAAACATTTAAAAACAAAACATAACAGATGTTTCAGGGAATAATTCAAAAATAATATTGCAATATAAAATCATGCATAAAAACTTGCTTTGCTCTTTATATATATATATATATATATATACGTAAGACGTCAAGCATCCATGCATCAAAAAAAGTCATTATTTTAAAGTATACACTTAAAGTGATAGTTCACCCACTATCTAAAATTCTCACCTTTTACTTGAGTTTCTTCTATTGAACAAGATGGTATTATCGGTATATATTAAATACCATCTGAGATCTTTGAAGACACTTAATACACAAATACGCTTCACTGAACATGTATTACTATTACATGTAAATATTATTCATTTTGAAACAACAATATATACTGTATAACGGCCGATTAACTACGTTTATATAAATATCTAACGGTTTATGTACTGCAAACCCTCTAAATAAGTGATGTACACCTTTTGTGGAGCTGGATAGCATTGGATTGATACTTGTTGTGAAAATCACTATGCAAGTAAACTTGAATTAAATAAAATATTTTTAGATGCTGGTCGGCACCCATTTTCTTCCTACAATGGAAGTTGATGGGTGCCAGCAACCAACATTCTTCTAGGCATCTTCTTTTGTGTTCAAATGAAGAAAGAAACTCATAAAGATTTACACATTATGGTGAATAAATAAATCAATTTTCTTTTTCTCCCTTTAACAAACTTTACTGATGCTTACAGGAGTTTCTTCAAGTTCATCCTCAGCAGAGTCCACTTCACGAACCTCCCAGTGAGCTGCAGAGACTACAAACAAATTCACAGTAATTAATAACAAGGTAAAGCAAGTGAATCTTCATGCACAATATCCAAAGCTTTGATATTCAGTCAGAAACAGTTCAACAAACAGCTCTCATCATAATACACAATTCACACTAGGTTAGAACTGAATTAGTGATGTTTTACCTGCATATATGAGCAAGCCGACCAGAAAGATGTTGCGGAGCATCTTAGCAGACGATTTCTGACCGAATTGAAGAAGAAACTTTCAGACTCTGAAGCTCAGTGGTCCTCTGAAGCCTTTGAAGCTCATCTTATAAAGGCTCTGCGTTCACCGCAAGTGAGCATCTCTTTCCAACCACAAACCACAGGAGGTGTTAGAAGGTGCAACAAAAAATAACGGAGATGCTTTTGTTATATATTCTGATAAAAGATTCATGACACTACTTTTGTTCTTTAAAGCATTTTTCAAGAAATCACACTTAGCTGATAATCAATAAAGCGTATTTGGCATGCTGTCCAGGGAGAGAGCCCTGAGCTCGTAATATCCTCGAGCCTGGGGTTCCCTCCCGTTAGAAAAGAGTTCAAGCTCAGGTAGGTCTCGAGAACTCCCCTGCTTGTCGCCGTGTGAGAAGTGTAAACTATAAGGTTGTCTTAGGTGATAATTTGGTTTAGTCGATTGCTAAGGTTTTGTTTTTGGACTGTGGGAGAAAACTGGGGAACCCAGGGAAAACCCACGCGAACATGAGAAGAACATGTAAACTCCGAACAGAAACACCGACCAGCCCGATAGGAGGTTTGACCAGCGGTGCTCTTGCTGTGAGGCAACAGTGCTAGCCACTGGGCCACCGTATCGCCCAATCGGAAAAAAGGGGTGGGAGTAGTGGTGGAGTGGGGGAGGATAGTTTGGGGGGGGGGGTAACTGGAGTGAAAACTCTGGTTATTTAAAATGCTTCCTTAATCATCTAATAGGGCTAATTACGGAGCTAATGAGGAGCCAGCCGTGTTGATCATAAGCACGTGATCCTCTCTAAATTAGTTTATGAATAGACCACACAAGTTATACTTACAAGTTTATACATTACCCATATAGAAATCTAATATACAGTATGACAATATATGCAAATTACATTCAGTATTTGACATACAGTACAAGTCCATATTTAAATGTCACATGTATAAATTGTCATACAGTTGTGTGAAATAGTGTTTGCCCCCTGATTTATTATTATTTTTTTTTGCATATTTGTCACACTTGAACATTTCAGATCATCAAACTAATTTAAATATTAGTCAACACAAATCATGTAGTTTTTATGAAGGTTTTTATTATTAAGGGATAACATAAAACAAAACTACATACCCCTGAGTAAAAAAAAAAAAAAGTACATATAAACTGTATATACAACTCCAAGTCATTCTACTTTGGCTCTCGGCGAAAGCGGACACATTTTTTTCCTCTCTCACCCGTATTTCTTCTGGCTGGCTCCTTTTGTCTTATTCTATCTCTGAGGCTCTCCTTGCCCTGCTTTCCAAACAATCAGAAATTATAGATTTAATCATCTGGTTTCTGAACACAATTGACACCATCTTTTTGACGAGAAGCCTGGGTCCGGGGGAACCCAACTGTCCTGCAGGAACGTTTGCTGCTGGATACATCATGGACGGGTGGGAGAAGTAGCACATTGTTTGTCTGGCTGCTTTGTCCCCGGAGGATAATGAAGACGTCTATTTATTTGGAACTTTGATAACAGGATTTCTGCTGATAGGCTTAGGTGGGGCCCTGGGGTATTGATGATTAATGAAAGCCCACCAAGCTGGCCAGCTGGATTTAAATGGTGGTAAGCAGGCCTGTTAGCACCCAGACTGTGGTTATGGACCGCAAATTGGAAAGCTTTGTGGAGAAACTAGCGGCAACAAGATTTGGACAGAACTGAAGACCAGTGACGGACATTCGATATCTGTAAAATTGGCAGATATTGACCCAAATTTGAAAACCTTTTTCTCTTTCGGCTTCCCTGCAACACTCCTGCCAGAAAGCCTCAGCTGGAGACAAACAACTTGATACAACAAGAAACGCTCTGAAGTCCTGCTCCCTGTCAAGGACACCTGTTGAGACTCTACAGGCTTCCAATTTCGGGGTCCAATTTCGCTACATGTAAAAGTGTATGTGACAAATAAAGGCTTTTTCATCATCATCATCAGAAAAAGTTGGGACAGTATGGAAAACGCAAATAATTAAAAAAGAAGTGATTTCTAAATTATTTACTTGACTTTACATTGCAGACAATACCACAGCACATTATTTAATGTGTTCGTCATGGTTTTTATTTTTAAAATAAACACGTGTTCCAGTTTTGGTTCTTGCAAGAACCAAAAAAAAAAGTTGTAACATTAAATAAAGTTGTAACAGTTAAACATTTACCACTTTGTAGAGTTGCCATTCCTTTTCACAACACTTAAAAGTCGTTTAGGGACTGAAGATACCAAGTGATTAAGTGCTTCAGGTGTAATTTCATTCTATTCTTCCTGAAAACAAGTCTTAAGGTTGGCAACAGTACGGGGTCTTTGTTGTCACATTTTGTGCTTCAAAATGCTCCACATGTTCTCTATTGGATACAGCTTGGGACTGCAGACAGGCCAAAATTTTATTGCACCAAACAGAAAATGTAAAAGGTGTGGGGTATAAAAATAACATTTTAGGAGGATATTGTATAAACTCACTTGTATTTATCTCTTAATATATACAGTTAAAACCAGAAGTTTACATACACTGTAAAAGACACATAACCATTTAAAAAAAAGTTGTTAATGTTAATGTGACTAAACTTTTTCTCTTTTAGGTAAGTTAGGATTATCAAATTTGTTTCTGTTCTGCTTAATAGCAGAATAATGAGAGAGAGAGAGATTTTATAACTTTTCTTGAAAGTCAAGTTTACATACAATAAGATTATTATGCTTCTGAAAAAGCTCAGATGATGGTGTCAAGGGTTTGGAAGTTTCTAATTGACTAATTGACAACATTTGAGTTAATTGGAGGCACAACTGTAGAATAGTATTTAAGGTAAACTTCAAACACACTGCTTCCTTGTATGACAGCATGGGAAAATCAACAAGCCAGAATCAACAAAAAAGCCAGAATACAATTTGCTAAATGACACTGGGAAAAATATTTTTTGGAGACATGTCATGTGGTCTAATGGAACTAAGATTGAACTGTTTGGCCATAATGACCAGTGTTACATTTGGAGGACAAAGGGGAAAGCTTACAAGCCTAGAAACACCATCCCAACTTTGAAGTATGGGGGCGGCAGCATCATGTTGTGGGGCTGTTAAGCTGCTGGAGGAACTGGTCCACTTCACAGCATAGATGGCATCATGAAGAAAGAACATTATGTAGAACTACTGAAGCAACATCTCCAGGAAATTAAAGCCAGGAAATTAAAACTTGGTCACAAATGGGTCTCCAAAACAGACCATGACCCTAAGCATAAAGCCAAATTAGTTAAAATGTGCTTTAAGGACAACAAAGTGAATGTTTTGAAGTGGCCATCACAAAGCCCTGATCTCAATCCTATAGAAAATTTGTGGGCAGAGTTGAAAAAGCTTGTGCGAGCAAGACAAATCTGACTCAGTCACACCAATTCTGTCAGGAGGAATAGGCCAAAATTTCTTCAAACTATTGTGAGAAGCTTGTGAAAGGATACCCAAAACGTTTGAACAAAGTTATACAGTTTAAAAGCAAAGCTAAAAAAATGAAAAATTAAGGAAATGTGTGTAAACTTTTGACTGTCTAGAAATTAATAAACAAGTCTCAAAAAAAAATCTCTCATTATTCTGGCATTTAGCAAATGTAAATGATTTAGGTCAGTGGTCCTCAAACTTTTTTCATCAAGTACCACCTCAGAAAATAATTGTCTCTCCAAGTACCACCATAATGAGCAGTATTGAAATACAGTAGCGTAGTAAGCCCAGTAAAGCAGCTACAGTTATGCACAATTCAAAAACATGGCAGATTAATTCCTATTATTAAGAATATTTATTATTGTCAACCCATTTAAACACAAATAGTCTGAACGTTAACACTGTACTGTGCTTGCGTAAAAAAAAAATATAAAAACGTCAACATTTAAATTAAAATGTGCTTAAGATAAAAAGAAAAGTGCTGTACTTAAATGTAAAGTATTAACACATCTGAAAATGTTGTCTGGACCTCAGAAATATAGGTTATATGTAATATATTGAATATTAATATCTGCCATATTCATAAATAAATAATTTTGGATAAATTTTGAAATATATGTAGCATGTACATATTACATATTTGATTCCTCTATACCACTAGAAGGAAGCCTGCGTACCACTAGTGGTACACGTACCACAGTTTGAGAACCACTGATCTAGGTTATCCTAAAGGATCTAAAATAGTAAACGTTTAGTATGATTTACCATCAGCCATTAAAAAAAATGGTATGTTCCTTTATTTAGAGTGTATGTAAACTTCATGGTTCAACTGTAGGTTGGATTTACTAAATTGTTAAAGTTAAGTCAACTATTTGCTTTAAAGACAACAAGCTGACTGACTTTTGACTGACTTTTTAAGGATATTTATGTCGTGACAGAGACAGGTCTGAAGATCTTGAACAGGATGGATGTAAATTAAATACACTTACATAAACACTGTGTAGTTAATGTATTAAATGTTGATGAAATCCATTGATTTTTTTTGGCAGATTTGATTGTATGGTTTATGAAAATCATTAGTCTGGGTTGTTATAAAAGATACAACTTGCAGCCTACAGTTCTGACAGATTGAAAACTATTTACAAATAGGAGGCTCAGAATAATGTAAAAACATAATAATAACACAAGAAAAAAACACACAGCAGATTTCTATGTAGTCATATATTTAATGAGCTTTGACTGTAATGCATTTAATGCATTCACATCTTTTCATTCTCATTCACAGCCCGGTCATGAATAAAATTGAACTCTTTTCTGGGTGGTCCAAATCTAGAACAAAAAATGCAAAATATTAAAATCTCCTCAGTTCAATCAATGTGTTTCTGTGAAAATGAGCGTTTCTGTGGTACTTACTTGCAGACCAGCGCTTTAGCACAGATGGTGTTTACTCCGTCATTCGTCATCAGCTCGTCGATCAGAGTGTGTAAATGAGTCTTCACAAATTTCTGACACTGACCTTTCAGCAGCCAAGCTTTTTCACAGAGGTTCATCAGTTTGTTTTTGATTTCATCCTGAAGGAAAAGACGTGATTAGTTAAGGCCACTGTGAAAGGCATAGTCGGTTTAATAATGTGGTATTAATAATGACACTCACTGGCGTTGAGTCAGCGGAAATTCTTTCCTTCACATGCTTCATGACATATTTACATAAACTGCACATGCCGGGAAACTTCTGCTTTACCATGTTGTCATTCTGAAAACACACCAAACCGATATGAATCATCAAACAATAAGTATACATCAGATTATCCAGCACAATCGGTCTCTAGGATCTGAATCAGTCTTTTTATCTAGGAGTTAGGCGGCATGGTGGCTCAGTGGTTAGCACTGCCACCTCACAGCAAGAAGGCAACTGGTTTGAGTCCCAGCTGGGTCCTTTGGCATTTCTGTGTGGAGTTCGCATGTTCTCCCCATGTTCTCGTTGGTTTCCTCTGGGTGCTCCGGTTTCCCCTACATTCCAAATACATGTGTTATAGCTGAATTGCATGAACTAAATTGGCCGTAGTGCATGAGTTAATGAGTGTGTATGGTTGTTTCCCAGTACTGGGTTGTGGCTGGAGGGATATCAACTGCATAAAACATATGCTGAAATAGTTGGCAGTTCATTCCACAGTGGCCATCCTTTTAAATTGGTGACTTAACCAAAGGAAAATGAATAGAGTTAACTAGTTATTTATTACTACCTCTTAATTGCATAAATAACCCTGCAAAGTGGAAACACAATGTTAGATATTGTTTTCTATTAATATTTGTCATGTGACATTTATATAATGCCCATTCTGTTCATCACCAGTATTCTTACACTGCAAAAAATGCTTTTCTTACTTAGACTTTTTTGTCTTGTCTCTAGTCCAAATATCTGAAAATTCCTAAATCAAGAAGAATTTTCTAGACAAACAAAACATATTGTTTACTATTGAGAAATAATATCCTTAAAACAAGCAAAATAATCTGCCCAATGGGGTAAGCAAAATAATTACGTCAAAAGAAAAAACAAGATTATTTTGCTTACTCCATTGGCAGATTATTTGAGAGGGTGCTCGCTGCAGAGCCATTTGAGGAGAGCTGAGCTCCAGCGAGGGGGAGCATGAGCTGTCGCTCCTCCTCCTGTAAGCTGTTTTAATGCGTACACCAACCCCACCCCTAACCCTACCCCCAGTGACATCACTCGTAGAAGAAGTGCAAAAAAGGTGGAGCTCAAGCTTAAGCTCCCCCTCGCTGGAGCTCACCTCTCCTCAAATGGCTCTGCAGCGAGCACCACTTGGATTATTTTGCTTGTTTTAAGGAAAAACTCACTTAATATTGGCATATTATTTCTTAAAACGAGACAATATGTTTTGTTTGTTTAGAAAATGGCTCTTGATATAAGAAATTTTAGATATTAGGTCTAGAAACAAGACAAAAAATCTAAGCAAGAAAAGCATTTTTGCAGTGTAAAGGGATAGTTCACCCAAAACAAAAAATCTGTCATTTACTCATCCTTCACTTGTCACAAACCTATTTCAGTTTCTTTCTTCTGTTGAACACAAAAGATATTTGGAAAAATGTTAGAAACGTGTAACCATTGACTTAAATGGTATTTGTTTCTCATACTAAGAACACCAACAGTTGCAGGTTTCTAACAATTTTCAAAATATCCTCTTTTGTGTTCAAGAGCTATGACTTTCTCTTGAGGGTGAGTAGTGAATTTTTATTCTTGTGTGAATTATGCCCTTAATTTAAACTGTTACTTTATACATCATGGGAAGATTTTTATCTCCAGAAATGTTTTAGTTGGATGTCTGTCTAAAGTTTTCAAATTATAATAACTATTTCACAACATTCAGATGTCACCATCTTTCCCATTGGCTTTGGATAAAAGCATTGCTAAATGAAGAAATGTAAACATTCGTATTGTGTTGCAAATAGGCATGAGATGATAACTGTTTTCAAGGTTTATCGTAGTTTGGAAAAGTCAAGGTTTTAAAACTGCCAAAATTTTCTGCTATACAATTCCTAAGATATGTGTAGGATTTTTGTTGTTTGTTTTTAGGACAACAGTACCTGTAGCAGAAAAGAAATCAAAGAATACCGTTTTAAATTGTAAAGAAATCTCTGTCGAAACTAATGAAGACAGCAGAAGTCAATAAATAAAAGAATTTTTTAGCCTGGCATGTTTGCTCTAAAATATTTTAAATGTGTCTCAAAATAAAATATGTTGTGTTCAAATGGGAAATTTAAAAATATATATATTCATCAAGACATGTAAAACGAACATATTTTAGAGCAGTAATCACAATACAGTCAAACCATGATATTTTTATCCAAGGTTGTTATACTGTCAAAATCTTATACCGGCCCATGCCTAGTTGCAAATTAAATTCTAAAATGGGATGTTTCCTTAACATTCATATTAAAAAGAAAACATTTAAAAACAAATCACAGCAGATGATTCAGGGAAAAATTCAAAAATAATGTTAAAATTAATAATCATTACCATAAAAACATTTTTTCTTCTATTTTTGTATGAGGAATGATTATAACAGATGTCATGCATCAAGAAAAGTCATTATTTTAAAGTATACACTTGTTTAAAGTGATAGTTCACCCCAAAATAATAATTCTACCATTATTTACTCGCCTTTTACTTGAGTTTCTTTCTTCTATTGAACAAAAAAGATGAAATTTTGATATTTAAATGATATATTTCAGTGCTTGAAGAGATGATACCAACCAATCTTCAAGGACACTTAATACTCTTCACTGAACATCTATTAATATTACATGCAAATATTATTTCTTTTGAAAGGTATATACACTATATACTGCATAAGTGCAGGTTAATACGTTTATATTTTGCTTTGGATTTATAATTGTTGTGAAAATCCCTATACAAGTAACTAGAATTGAATGAAATATTTTGATTGGGTGCCAGCAACCAGTTTTTTTTCAAGATATCTTCTTTTGTGTTCAACAGAAGAAAGAAACTCATAAAGATTTACACATTATGTAGAATAGATAAGGTATTTTTCCCTTTTCTTTCCTTTTAACAAACTTTACTGATGCTTACAGGAGTTTCTTCAAGTTCATCCTCAGCAGAGTCCACTTCACGAACCTCCCAGTGAGCTGCAGAGACTACAAACAAATTCACAGTAATTAATAACAAGGTAAAGCAAGTGAATCTTCATGCACAATATCCAAAGCTTTGATATTCAGTCAGAAACAGTTCAACAAACAGCTCTCATCATAATACACAATTCACACTGGGTTAGAACTGAATTAGTGATGTTTTACCTGCATATATGAGCAAGCCGACCAGAAAGATGTTGCGGAGCATCTTAGCAGACGATTTCTGACCGACCTGAAGAAGAAACTTTCAGACTCTGAAGCTCAGTGGTCCTCTGAAGCGTATGGAGCTCTTCTTATAGAGCTGTGCATTCACCGCAAGCATCTTTTTTTTTAGCCCCAAACCATACACTTTGTTAGGAGGTGTGAATACTGGAGAATGTTTTTAATATTCTAATAAAAAATCAATGACACTACCTTTGTTTTTTATAGCATTTCAGTTACACTTACAACTTTACTCCTTATCCGTATAGCTATCTGATATAGCATATGGCAATATATGCAATATACAAACAGTTGAATTCGAAATTATTAGCTCTCCTGAGTCCTGTGAATTTAATTATTTTTCAAATATTTTCCAAATTATGTTTAAAAGAGCAAATAATAATAATAATAATAATAATAATAATTTACAGTATTTCAAATATTTTTTTTTCTTCTGGAGAAAATCTGGTTTGTTTTATTTCTGCTAGAATGAAAAAAGTTTTTAATTACAGAACAGACCATCATTATACAGTGATTTTTCTAACTACCCCAACCTCCCATATTAATCTAGTTAAGCCTTTAAAATGGACTTAAAGCTGAATACTAGTATCTTTATCTACAAGTTGCAAAAAACATGAAATAGTGGATAACCTATTCAGGAGTGGCTGGCCGACTAAAATCATCCCAAGAGCTAAACTCATCCAAGAGGTCACAAAAGACCCCACAACAACATCAAAAATCTGCATGCCTCACTTCCCTCAAATAAAGTTTTGCGGTGTACAGAAATATCCAGAAGGAGAATGTCCAGTCATCTGTTAGTGACCTCAAGCAGAAGCAAACTTGGGTTCTGCAGCAGGATAATTATCCATGGCACACCAGCAAGTCAACTTCTTGATGGCTAAAAGAACAAAACAAAATGAAGACCTTAGAGTGGCCCAGTCATAGTCCTGACCTGAATCCAATTGAGATGCTGCGGCATGACTTTAAAAGTAGTTGATGCTAGAAGACTCCAGTGTGATTCCTCCAAAATTCCTCCACAGTGCTGTAACAGACTGTTAGATGGCCCAACTATTATTAGGTGTAGTGAGCAAACAGTTTTTCAGAAAGGGCTATGTAGTTTTGTATTTTGTTTTCCTTTAATAATAAAAACCTACATTTCAAAACTGCATGATGTGTTCACTTGTGTTATCTTTGACTATTATTTAAATTAGTTTGATGATCTTAAACAATAGGCAAGGCAAGTTTATTTATATAGCACATTTCATACACAGTGGCAATTCAAAGTGCTTTACATAAACAGGAATAAAAAAGACAAGTTTAGGAACAAAATGCAGGCAATAAAAAAGATTAAAAACAGCTAAAAACTAATTAAAATGAGTTAAAAATGGTTATAAAAGAATGAAAAAGAAAACGAAAAACATAATAGCACAATCTGTCGAACGTAGCACAGTGCTCATACAGTAAAGGCACTGCTAAACAGATGTGTTTTCAGTCTCGATTTGAATGTGCCTAATGTTGGAGCACATCTGATCATTTCTGGAAGCTGATATTTACTCTTTTTCAGACCATTCTCTGTAAACCCTAGAGACGGTTGTGCATGAAAATAAAATAAAAGTAGATATAAAAATAAATACAAATCTTTTATTGTAATTTTATTTTCTTCATTTTAATATTACTGGCACCACCACTTTCTATCACGTTCTTAACTTTAATAAGGTCAATAAAGTGTTTGCCCCTGTTGTAAAAAAATTAATGAGTGAAAAGAAGAGAGAGAACCCAGTCCAGGAGACTCGAAACAAGCAGAATTCCTTTATTGAGACGTGTTGGTTAATCTGCAGTCATACAGCGTCTTTAAGATGTCCATGTGTCTGCAAGAGCCTACTAGAGGTCTGCAGTCTGCAAGTTCTCTCACAAGTCTCACACAAGTCTGAATTAAGACAAAGATTTCATGGCTATATTGTGTTCTTAGGAGGAGGGGATATAGCTAAACAAAGCATGCAAATTCAGTATTGGAGTCAGCATGGCATAGGTGTTAAAAAACGACCCAGCTACTGACCACACAAGTTAATCAACATAGGGTTTCTGTAGCATAAAAGCAAAACCCGAAGACAAAGACAGAGTCATTTAAAGCATTTGCATCACTGGCTTAGCCTGTAGTCAGAGAGATAAAGGTTAAATGTCCCTCCTAGCTGGGATGTTAATGAAATTATATAATTAAAAACCAAAGAATATAACTTTTCAGTTATACGTAGATTATTGTTCATTTGGAATTAGTTGATAGAAATTTATGTTTCCACACCCCTTACTAATTTGTTATTCTTGCAGGTTTGTCAAGTGCAAAAATAAGAAACTAGTAAGGGGGCAAATACTTTTTCACACCACTTTATCTGCAACTTATATTTTGAAATATTGCAAAAATGGCCGTTTCATATCTTTTTTTTACACATTAGAATTTGAAATATGCACAAATAAGTTAATCTATAATAGATATAATTGTATATACACTCACTGGCCACTTTATTAGGTACACTTTACTAGTACCAGGTTGGACCCACTTTTGCCTTCAGAACTGCCTTAATCCTTCGTGGCATAGATTCAACAAGGTACTGGAAATATTCCTCAGAGATTTTGTTCCATATTGATATGATAGCATCACGCAGTTGTTGCAGATTTGTCCGCTGCACATCCATGATGCGAATCTCCCATTCCACCACATCGCAAAGGTGCTCTATTTGATTGAGTTCTGGTGACTGTGGAGGCCATTTGAGTACAGTGAACTCATTGTGATGTTTAAGAAACCAGTCTGAGATGATTCACGCTTTATGACATGGTGCGTTATCCTGCTGGAAGTAGTCATCAGAAGATGTGTACACTGTTCATCAAGTGATGTACATGGTCAGCAACAATACTCAGGTAGGCTGTGGTGTTGACACAATGCTCAATTGGCACTAATGGGCCCAAAGTGTGCCAAGAAAATATCCCTCACACCATTACACCACCAGCAGCAACCTGAACCAATAATACAAGGCAGGATGGATCCATGCGTTCATGTTGTTGATGCCAAATCCTGACTCTACCATCCGAATGTTGCAGCAGAAATCAAGGCTCATCAGCAACGTTTTTTTTTAATCTTCTGTTGCCCAATTTTGTTGAGCCTGTGCTAATTTTAGCCTCAGTTTCCTGTTCTTAGCTGACAGGAGTGACACCTGGTGTGATCGTCTGCTGCTGTAGCCCATCCGCCTCAAGGTTGATTGTGTTGTGCAATCAGAGATGCTCTTCTGTATACTTCTGTTGTAACGAGTGGTTATTCGAGTTACTGCTGCCTTTCTATCAGCTCGAGCCAGTCTGGCCATTCTCCTCTGACCTCTGGTATATCAACAAGGCATTTGCGCCCACAGAACTTCCGCTCACTGGATATTTACTCTTTTTCAGACCATTCTCTGTAAACCCTAGAGACGGTTGTGCATAAAAATAAAATAAAAGTAGATACAATAATAAATGCAAATCTTTTATTGTAAAGTAATTTTATTTTCTTCATTTTATTATTACTGGCACCACCACTTTCCATCAATATTGTTCTTAACTTTAATAAGGTCAAGGAAGGAAGTCTCATAATGACTGTTAAGTGTTTTTTACACGACCCTGGATGCTAACTTCTGTCTTTCACACCCTTTAATTTTGAAGATGAACACTAACTGTTTCCCACCTCTGAACCACCCATCCCTAGTTCTTCTGAAGACTATTATTTGCGTCATAAGTTTGACACTCATGGTCATAATGGGTGATTAATTATAGACCCGATACTCACCTTTGCATGTCATAGCCATTTACTGAAGAAATTTCACAGCTTCTGACTGTTAACAGCAAGCCAGCTGCTCAAAGTCCTCATTTGTTTGATGATCTGTAGAAGTTTAAAAAAACACAGGGCCGGGCAATAAAATGGGTATCGATTTTAATTGACCGAACACCATTGTCAATATCGACAAAAAAAGCTTCAGTATGAATCGCTATAGTTTTATTAAAAAGTGGCTGATGAGCGTGCGCCTTGGAAACAATGCCAATAAGCTTAGTCACTTCAGGTCAGAATAACAACATGTAAAAATGAGTGTCGTATAGCAGCAGTGAGGAGATTGTAAATAAAAAAGGATGTCGCCAGAGTGGCTTTTTGGTTTCTTTTCTTGTGCATCCCAGCCACTAGCTCCCCATCTGAAAGATTTCTTAGCGTAGGGGGTAATATAGTCATCCAACTTCACAAATTGTAATGTTGCAGTATGTATTTGAATATTGATGGTTGGTTCCTTTACTTGAAAGCTCAGATACGATTATCATAATTTGTGTTGTTGACAAAGTTTGAGGTTTACTGTATCATTATTATTCACATCTTAAAGTTTGTTTTCTCATTGCACACACTTTGCAAGAATTTTATTATCCAGTTTAAGAGTCTCTTCAACACTTATGTTTAATTTATTATAAAGATATCAGATATTTTGTTTAAATATTTTTGTTTTTGACTATTAAAATTGTTTGCCTTGGTAATGTTGGTTAAATAAAGTAGTTAAATAAATAAAAAACCCTAAATGCATTGTTAAAAAATATTCAATAATTATCGATATCGAATGATATGAAACATGATATTGTGATAATTTTATTTGCAATATCGCCCAGCCCTATGTTACACCATCATCTCTTTTCCTTGTCCACTTCATCAATGCCTTCTCTTGCTGAAAATACTTTAGATCCTGCTAAAATATTACACTCACAGATTTAAATATATGTAGATTATTTCACTCATACCTGTGACTAAAAACAGGTGTATATTAAAATTGATATACATATTAGCAATCATTTGTTTTAATATTTTGAATGCTTTGTATTAATATGCTTATTGTTTTGTTCATTGGCGGCTGTGTTCATAACAGCACACAATATTTATAGATTATTTACTATTTTCACTTCTTACAATAGCTGTCTGGAATACTTGATTCTGATTGGTCAGTCACGATATTC